AGAAGTATATATTTACATAATTTATCTTATTTTTAATTCCAGCGCAAAATGATCAAAGAATATGGGCCATATGGTAACAAAGAAAGTTCAACAAACTGGTACATTGAGCTTAATGATGGTCAGCGATTTTCCAAAGTATTTATCAAACATGGATTCATTGTCGATGGAGTTGGGTTTGAAGTATCAAGCCTTACCGGAAAAACCTACACCCAAATGTTTAGTGGGCCTGGCGGGGAAACTACAGAGGTAAAAATTTTATTGTTACAAGAAATTGGCAATTATATTACTCGTGTGTACTATATTTTGACCATACAAATATACTATATATCCATAAATAATATTAAAGTAGTAAGGAAAAATTAACAAGTTTAATCCCAAGTATTATGTTGCTTCTCATTTTAATCCCAACTACCGTTTAACCTAGAATAATATAGGTGAGCCTTCTCAAAATAATTTCACTCATATTTTAACCTATTGTTCAAGTAAAAAGAGTGATGTGTAAAGCTACTATTAGTTAGTGCTTTTTTTTAATAATAATACTCATAAATAAAAATTAAACAAACATCCCTTCATTTTTCTTCTCTAATCACTGCCTACATCGGCAGTTTGGCATATTATTAAAATTTGTCACTTGTTTTTCTTGGACGCAAATTTGAAAATTTTTAGAAACAGAAAAATGAGGTATTGTTTCATATTTTTCTTGGAAGCCAACAAACACCCTCTTGACAACAAGTCAACATTTTCATTCCCTGCCATCAAAACCACTTTCTTAGCCACCAAAAACCACCGAAACCACCATTCTAGCTAAGCTCAGCCACCAAATCCACCACTCTAGCCAAACCCAGCCACCAAAACAACCAGCTAGCCAAGCCCTGCCACCGGAAAGTCGGATGACCATCATTTCACTATGCAAAAACTCATTTACAACTATGAATATTCAGCCCGCACTTAAGTTCCTCTAGGAACTCAAGTATCCCAACTACGGTCCCTCAACCGTAACTTATCTCTCTCAGTGATTCGACTCTTAATCACTTATACTTTGTGATAGACTCACTCAAGCCTCACAAGTACAACTCTCACAAACCCCAATCCCAATTACAAAAGTAATTACAAGACTTTTCCTAATGCACTAGAGAAGATTAAGGCAGGAAGGAACTCATCACTCTTTTATATTAAAACGTGAAAGCTCTGAAACTCTATGAACTGAATGTTTTCGTTGTTGCTCCTTTCCAAAATCAGAGTACGTTGCAAGCCTTTTATAGTGAGATGGAAAGTCTCAACCTTGTTCCTCACTCTTCCCATATTCCACGTTCACTTCAACTAGGAAGTTGTTGAACGTTGATTAGAGAGTTGGAAGTAAGGTTTCCCTGACTTTTCTCTCAAGGCTTTCAACGTGATTCCTTAAAATCAGGCAACCAATTTTACTTGGTCAAAAATCAGTTAAAGATATTTATTAAAAAGATAATTATTATTAAAATAAAAAAAGATAAAACTTTTAAATAATTATTTTTAAAAATAATAAACTTATCTTTTAAATTAAAGAATTATTTATCTTTTATTTATTTGCAAAACATATCTTTTCAAAACTGATTTTATTCTATCCTTATTTCAAGGACTTTAAAACTGATTTGAAAACTTACGTTGAAATCATTTTCTGATTAAAACATTAAGTTCCTTTTGCAACACTAAGTTCATTATAATATAAGTTCCTTCCCACACTTAAATTCTCTTGTGCTTACATAGAATCCTAAGTACTGGAGTTTGCTTGTTTTTCTTGAAAGCTTGCATATCAACGTCAAGACTTCCAATCCCTTTGGTCCTACTCCGGAACATATTGTTTGTACCTGAATCTTTTGTTCTACCAAGACTTAACACACATCATTAGTCAAAGTTTATTTTGTTATGTCAATCATCAAAATACTAAGGGAGTCAACTCAACAATTAACCAGTAAGAGAGGTCAGGTAATAGGTAAAAGGGAGTATTTTGAGAAGAATCACATAATAGTTGGGATTATTTTAAGTTAAATTGTAGTTGGGATGATTAAAATGAGAAGGATGTCAATAGTTGGGATTATTTTTGTTAATTTTTCCAAGTAATAATCGCTAACATCATTCTATTTTAAAATTAGACACATGTCATATTGTCATTAAAAATTTTCCCTCCAAAACTATAACTGATGTCATTGTTTTGTGATTTTTATTTTATTTTATTAATATTCTGGTCAATTACGTTACTATTAGTATCAAATTAGGTTAAAATCCCGTGCAATGCACGGTTGTTAAATATTTTTGACAATAATATTACAAAATACTAAATAAAGTATTTAAAAGATATTCAGAAATATTTCATTTGGGTATATGGAATATGATTGTCAAAGTGGAAAGAAGATATCACGAGGTATAACTAGTTTACTTAAAGATTTTACACAAAAAAAAAAAAAAAAAAAAAAAACGAGAGTGAGAAACGAAAAAGGCGGTAAAATTTTTCACAAGGTAATGTCAAGTGTCATGGAAGGATTTGCTTTTAGTATAGGTTAATAGATGTTGAAAAAAGGTATATTCTCTTTAACAAAATAATTTAATTTTTGTTCCTTGGGTACCCTTTTCATCAATCAATTTTTCTATGAGCTCTTTTTTTTTTTTTTTTTTTGAATATTTGATGTTTTATTTATTTTGGGAATATTTTTATATTTAATTTTAGTAAGAAAAAATAAATAAATGTAGAAAATTTTATTTGATTAATTCGTGCATCACACGAAATTAATCTAATTAGTATTATATTCCTAACCGGTAAACATACAGATTGAATTGGATGAAAACGAGTTTATAACACAAATAAGCGGGAAGTATGGAAAGTACCTTGAGAAGGATATCAAAATTGGTTCGATAACGATCCATACCAATTTAGGTCGTTCATATGGACCATATGGACGTGATGAGCAGGTCACAGAAGCTAAGCCTTTCGCAACTCCAGTGCCATTAGATGGCACTATTGCTGGTTTTAATGGATCCTATGGAATTTACCTTAACTCAATTGGAATTTCTGACAAGGTAATAACTTACCATCCAACATTATTCAAGCTATAATTATTGTAAAATTAATTAGTATAACTTTCTAATTAAGATCATTTTTAAACAATATTTTTCAGTACAAGAAGGTTGACAAGTACGGGCCATATGGACGTGCTTAATGCTATTGAAGCTTATGGTCGGAATGTGTGTTTCGCAATTGCTTACGTGTGCTCGATGCGGACTACATGAAGAGCGTCGTCATCTTTAATTTTTATTTTTCTTTTTCCTAATGTTTGTGTTTCTTTTTTCATTTTTCATTTTTCTTTTTCCTAATGTTTGTGTGTGTGTTTTTTTTCGAATAAACTCTTTTCTTTCTTTTTGAATTTGAGCTCAGAGTTTGTTGTGTTGTCACTTATATTTCGTTTTTGTTGACTCTGAATATCAATGGACTTTTCTTTTACTCTAAATTGAAGTATTGAACTATTGTCCTCTATTATTTCTTTTTCTTATTGTTATACATAAGAGAGTAAATTTATCATGTGAGGTTGTATGACGATATATCATAGATATAGATGCGTGAATAATTCTTATATGACAAAATCTAATACTTCATCTTAGACACCTCTACATGTACTGCACTCGATCTAAGTGGCAAGTCAGATCAATGTATTTGTACACTTGATCACATAGTGTATTATTTTGTCTATGTTTGACTTTTGTTGATCAATATAATATATTTACTTTCTACTTTACAATTTTTGTTTATTCCACTCTACACAACTAAATTAGTATGGTACTAGAATTGATTAGGAACGGGTGGGTTCGAAATCAATATTGAACATTTGGACCCCTTGTTTTCAATTTCAGGCAATAAAATTAGCAACCGATTACAACCGATTTCGGTTTCAATTCCTATTATTTTTTTTGAAACAAATCCCTGAAATCGGAACTATTTGGGTACCTAGTTACTCGACAAAAAATTTACTTTGCTTCCTCTGTTTATTTTTACTTGCAACACCTTTCATTTTCATGCTTAACAATGCATTATTTTATCCATATATATCTTAATTACAAATATGTAAAATTTATAAGTGAAACTTTAATTATAATATGAAAGTATAAATCAAGAAAAATCTAACAAGATTTCATATTGCTTAACTATGTATTATTAACCCGGTCAAAGTATAGTATTAAGTATTTTAAAATAATACTACGTAGTATGTTAAATGTATCTAATCAATAAAACCAATAATAAAAAAAAAAAAAATCTAGCCTAAAGAAAAAAAAATAAAAAATAAAATTACTTCGTACTATATAAAAATTTCACAAATTCCTATATATGGCCAGCCATAACATTAGTTGATTAAATGAGGTTACTTTTTTTGTAAGTATTTGATAATTGGAGTTATTATTATTATTATGAATAAAGTAAGGCTACCCTTACCAATAAATGAGGTTACTTTTTTTGTAAGTATTTGATAATTGGAGTTATTATTATTATGGATAAAGTAAGGCTACCCTTACCAGTAAATGATTTGTTTCATTTTTTTAAGATCGTAATACTTTAATTTTTACAAGTTTTGTGTGTACACATGATATGACTGCATTTAATTAGAATTATTCTTCATAATAAGTGAACATACATCTTTTTGACATCTACTATTAGCCATTGAATTTTTTATTTTTTTTTTTTGACGGGAGCCGTTGAATAATTTTACATACTTTGCAAAATATTAGTTATAATTAATAAAATATCAAACTTTTTTTTATTTGCTTCGTTTAATGACCTTAAACATTCAACTAGATCATCGCGCATCTTGCATTGCCTTCTCATTTTTTTTTATTTTTTATTTTTTTATTTATTAATCAATATCAGTAAGATATTACTTAGTCGCATGCTTATATAATTTATTTTGCATATGTCTTGTAACGTGTATGTTAACTAAGAAGCTAAAAATGGAATATGAATACTCAAATCACTCCATATGTATACACATCAAACGACACGATTTCATTCACACCCTTATTTAATTTCTACAAAAGGGATTGATCTAGAGTCAAGCCTTAGAAAGTTAGATTAAGTGCCGAGCTATATATACTCGGAAAAACTTTATTGTAATATTATACAGTAAAAGGGTGGCATAACATTGCTAGTCCACGAGTGATCGTAGGAGCTAGCAATAGAACACACAAATTCATAACATAACAAGCACACAATATATCGTCGTAGTCAATCGATATGTTATAGGCAAGGTCATGCGTAGAGCAACTTCAGGCCTTGTAGTTGATAACTTTCTGAAGGTTTTTGAGAGCATCAATTGCAATTTGAAGGTAGTAGTCAAGAGATGGTGCGACGGTTGCAAGAGGATCGGCCGCAATTTCTGTCCTCTCGTCTTCCACAACCGTGGGAACAGGCTTGCTAGGATCCTTCTCGAATTCCTTTGCTTGCTCGAAACATGTTTCCATGCGCGGAGTGGCATAGCTTCGTATCTTTTCGACGTCGCCTCTAGAGGCAAAACGCTGGCGGTCATGGGAAATCTCAGAAGAGTAGGTAAAACAACGGCCTTTGTTTTCGTAGGTTTCATTAGTTTGCATAAACTTCACCATCTCATCCACCTCATATTTCAGGGTCTCAATAACCATTTTGGACTCTTCATTAAGAGCTTCGACGACAACATGGCCGAGGGAATTTTGGCCTTCTACAACCTTATCTAGAGCTGCATCCATATTTTTTGCTTCGGCCAGGGTTCTTGCCTCTTTCATCAATTCCACAATTTCCACCCGTTTTATCTCAGCTTTAGTTGCGTCTGTTTGTTTCATTTTTGGTGCAATACATCGTTTAACTCGGAACTTAACTGGATTGGTTTGTGTCGAATTTCCCGATTCAGCCCTGCAATATTGATATTCATTTATCATTATATACGTAGAATTTTCATTCATTTCATATTTAGTCTTAGACCAGGACTTGAGTACCACTGCACTTCTTAATACTTTAACCAACTGAGCTAGTTAATCATTTATTTTTCCTTATGGGAATATGTTTATATTAAACTAATTTGGTACAATTTATAAGTAAGGTGTTGCAAATAATATAGCATGGAGAGTATGTAAAGTTAAGCAGTATCTGAAATAACTCTAACTTAGCTCTTTTATTTCGAGCATCTTTAATTTAGCTTTCAACCCTTTTAACCAAAAAAAAAAAAAAAAAGAAACAAAATTTAACACCACAAACCTGTAGGTGCAAGAGAGAAGGGAATCGAGTTCGACTTGAGCCTTGTTTGGATCATTACGTATTTCAGGGAGAGAAAGGAAGACCAAAACCATGCGTATCTCTTTTTGGTAGAGATCACCAAATGAAACAGTTACGACGCCAGTTTCTTTATCGACAATTTGTTCATAGTCTCCTGCAGAAACCTTTTCGATGATGGTTTTAACCTTCTCTCTTCTGCTCACCGTCCCTAGCAGTGGTTTGATAACAAGATTCACGTCTTTTACAAGTACGCTAAGAAGCCCAGCCAAACACGGGGCGAACAACTTACTCAGATCTCCAAGTTTAGCTACAGAGAATGTTCCTCCTTTGCTTTTGCTAGCAATGTGTCCAAGGACCTATATACATCGAGTTTACAAGAATTAGATGAAAGAATCATAAAATCAAAAAATAAAGAAATTATGTAGTCTGTCGCATTTTACTACATGAAGGCTTTGTTCGGAAGTCTAGTTCTTATATCTTAATATAAGGTGCTCAAATATTAAGATATCTTAGATTTGTATATTTGTTTTACGAGCACTTTAAAATTTAAATTAAATCGAACGATTTGAAAATAGAGATGTTATTAAGTATCAGTTATTTCTACCAAGCAACTCATTCAAATCATTTACCACGCAATCAGTTTCAACATCATTTCAGTTTTTGCGACTAATAATTCAATTAAAGTTAACGTACTAATCAACATCGTGTTGTTTTAAGTTTTTGATGCAAAACATTTATATTGTGTTAGTAGGTGTTACCTAAAACAAATTTATAACATACCTTAGTGTCAATTTCTTTCTCATCCCCAAAACCGAAAGTGTAGATGGGATAACGATCAACCAAAATCTTGGTTGCATCATCCACATTTTGCTCACCATCAGACATAAGCATGATAGCGCCGGCTCGGCCAGTAGTATACTTCCGATCATCAAGTACCTTTAAGGCCATTTGAAGGCCAGCACTTATATTAGTATAGTAATCGACTTGTAAATTTTGGACCATGTAATCGACCTTCTCTTTAGCAACGGGACTCATGACCCGCAATCCACACAGTTTGATTGAATCTTTTGCGAATGTGCAGACCGACAAACGATCAGATGGGCTTAGCTTGCTGATCACAAACTGCATCGCGCGCTTCATCTCCTTCAACTTGTCTCCTTTCATGCTGTAGCTCACATCTAACACCATAACTATATCAGCTGCTAGTCTGGCATTAGCGGATCCTCTTCCTGTTAACTCCAACAACAGTTCATACTTCGCATTTTCCTTTGGCAACTCCGGCTCATTCTCGAATTTCACCGGTACTCTTCCCGCTTCTGGTGCTGAAGCTATTGCTTTTTCTCCGAATATAATGTGAATTTAAATATAGCAAGATTACGATAATTTATATTTTGAAATTGGATATATAATAAAATTTTATTGACCAATTAAAGTAGGTAGTCATTTCTAGAATAATAATTGTGTTAGGTATATTGGAAATTATACTAATAAGATATATTTTTCATATAGATTTTATGATAATATAATTTAGTGTTGGTCCGATTGCGGGAGGGTGTTAGGAGAATAAGAAGATATACTATTGTGATGTATTTTTCATATAGACCACATTTATCTCACAAATATTTTACAAATTGATACATTTTCACTATTTTTATGTTTCATATAAAATGGACTATATATACACTTTAGTAATATGTAAAACACAAATGTTATTGGATCATGTAAAACGTGTTCAAATAAAACACATATGTGTGGTGTTTTTTTTTTTTTTTATAATTATTTTTTACTTCTTTGCAGGTGGGGCTGGCTACATCTGGTGGGGATGAGGGTGAAGGTGGTGGCTGGGTTGGTGGTTTTTAGTTTCTTTTTATTTATTTTTTTCAAAGTTAACCATAGTTAGTTTTTTTTTTTTTTAAATAAATAACACTCATTAATGTCATATGTGAGATAAATTTCTTAATTAGGGTCATTTTGTATAATAATAAAGGGAGGTGACCATTGGTGCGTAGTAGAAGTTGCGGGTCACCGTTGAGAATTTCCCTTATAATATTCATCTTAATGATTGGCCATGTGTATTTCTTGTGATGTTCTTTCTATGATTTAATAATTTTATAAATTAGAAAACATAATGCACTTTTTATTTGTCAGTAATGTATAATTAATATTGAAACTAATTTTTCATACATGCCCATTACAAAATCATATAATTATCTTTATTAGATATTCTAATTAATAAGCTATTTTTAAAGTAAATGTATGTTCTTTAATTGTAATTTTTAATGTACTTTATTGTTAGAGATAATGTTCATTGCTTATTATGAAATATTCTTTGAATTTTGTCTTTGGATCATGATGTGTATAGATAAATAATGTACATTACATAATATTATCAATTTTTTTTTAATATTACGAATGTTCTTTAAACCTGAAATTCAATCACGGTCCCAAATAATATCGTCATCAACCTTTATGATCCCGGATTAAAAAAAAAAGAATAAAAAAACATACATAGTTAGTAAACGATAATTAATATTTAAAGAAAAATAAATAGAATTTGTGCGTCAGTCATTACCTCAAAGTTCATACTTTGTATTATTGAAACCCAAATAACATGTTTAACCAACATATGTTACCAAACGTAAGTTATAATGTAAAGAACATATAGTTCATATCCAAAGAACACACTTATCAAACTAAAAGAACATATTTTGTTCGTTCTTTGTACATGGATGTAATGTTCTTTTTTAGCTCGTCTTCTTCATACTCAATTAACGTTCTTTGTCAAATACAAGTATGTTCTTTCCGCCTTTTTATATTTAATCGGGCCGAGTGTACTATCCTATTTTCAGTGATTTTCCTTCTTGTTTGTGCACAAGATTTTTTTCCACACTAAAATTCTCTGTGTACTGTACGGAGTAGTATACTAACTTGAGCTTCTTTAGCTTTCAAGTGTTTATTCTAAAAAAGTTAGTTAAGTAGCCATACTACAATTCACCCCCTTTTAGTATTCATCAGAGTAACAAGTTTAGACCATTATTTATGAGCTCAATCAAGTAGCTAACGATGGGATTGGAGGAGCAAATTGGGTACGGTGTTTATTCATTTTTTTCTTAGGATAGAACTTATAATTAAATGGGTTATAACTAAGATAAACATCCACTTTTAAATAAAAACTAGTGTGTGTTCCGGGCGATTTTCCGGACTGCTAGTTTAAACTTGGTTCTTTAATTTTAAAAATTATATGTTCAAATTCTAATAGTGTCATCATGTTCATTTTTAAATGGTCATTTTTCAGAAACTATAGTTTAAAACTTTATTTATATAATTGTTAACGAAAAATAGATCATATTAATTCATTAACTAATATTTTTTAAAAATGGCTAAAAAATAAGAACGAATTTGAAAACTAAAATTTTGAAAATGAATTTTTAAATCTTGAATTTTGAATTTTGAATCTTGAAAATTGAAAATTGAAAAAGAAATCTTGCATTATTTTTGGTTGAAAATAGTATTAGAGAGTGAAAACTAAAATTATTATGAGAAGTTGAATTTTTGGAGAGAAAGAGAGAAAACTTTTTTTGGAGAAATGAAATTTTGGTTAAGATTTTTTCAGTTAATGTGTAATATTTAAGGAAATTTTAATAAAGTTTTTTTTACGTTCTTTTTGTAAAGACTTTATGTTTTTCGTAATGGTATGTTCATTATCAAATACAAGTATGTTTTTTGTCAAACACAATGCATGTATGATCTTTATCTAATACAGGTTTGTTCTTTTCGCCTTGTTTTTTGATTTAATCGGGTGCACATATCAAGCGTTAGAAAACCACCACCCACTACAATAGGGCAACAACCTACTACAAGTTATAGCCTCTAGTTCGAAGTTCCTCTACGAACCAAGAACATCCAACAGTAGTACCTCAGGCTCAACTTACTAGTTTACCACAGTTTACCACTGTTGGCTATACTAAACCGTTGGAGGTTTCAAGGATACCGACGGTTGGCCGTCTGTAAATTATGCTTCCGACAGTTTTTGGCAATCGGTCCAGGCCATGTGCATTAATCTAACAATTTTTTTAATTATCAACATTATACAACTTATAATCTAATTCTAGAAACAAAGAAACAACCTATTCGCTCCTCCAATCCCATCACTTTGTCATTAACTTTGAGATTGTGCTCGTAAATTATCTAAACTCTAGGTATCATTTATTGATGGCCTGAATTCATTCCATTGAATTCTCCTTTTCATCATCGATCATGAGAAAGAAACAATAGTTGAGTTGACTAGGACAATATGCAAGTTGGTTAATAAAAAGATTATAAATCATGATATAGAGCATGTACATTCATGATATAATGTCTATGGTCTTGATTAAACTTAATGTCAATAATGGTTGAGATTGTATTCAGGGAGGCATATTCAACATGTTAGCGCTGACATTATCAATCATGCAATATTAAATAATAAATGAAACTTAACACGAAGCCGATGTATTTTCAACTTATTACTACAAACCCGCCGTATTTTCAGCGTATTTTTCAAAGACTAATTGAATGAAGAATTCTTTGTTAAATACGAGTATATGGTATACATTAATTTTTTTTATTTTTTTTTTTTGAGGAAACCGGGAGGAAGGCCTTAGATTGATAGATTGTCCATAAGTACATACGGGGAAACCTCACAAGGGCTATGGTGCTCCCAAATTTGTTCACAACCAAAAGGCACAATACGGGCTAAGTGATGAGCTACACTATTGCCCTCCCTTTAATATATGACTCCAAGAAGTAGAATTAAAGGAATTACAAAAATTAAACACATCTTCAAGTAAGCCATCAAGATCGGTGAGAAAAATGGAGCCTTTGTTTAACCTTCCAACCAAGACTTGGCTATCAGATTCAATCACAATATCTTTGAACTCATAGCGCTTCGCCAGCCTAACAGCCATCAAGACAGCCTTGCATTCAGCTATAATTGGAGGCCAAAAAGCTCTGGACCTTCTGCACGCAGCCAACAGGACCTCACCACTGCTGTTTCGAGCAACCACTCCTAGCCCAACCCAGCCTTCCGTGCACAGAGACGCGTCGCAATTAAGTTTGATAACACCATCAGGAGGCGCTTGCCAAGTCTTTGGGCTGCTCCGTTGCTTTACTCTGGCTACCCCATAAATCCTTTCCGAGGCTGAAATGCATTCATTTGCAAGTCTCTGAACTCTGTCAACAAGAACAGGAAGGAAAGATTCGGACCCCTGGAAGATCTTCTCATTGCGTCTTCTCCAAAGGTTCCACATAAGGATGGCCCCCTTACATTGCTTGCGTGAGCTTTGCTTATTCCATCCCTCAAACAATTCGAGGAAGCTCAAATCACTCGGCCAGGCTGCAAGTTCATGACATTCACATTCCACCCAGAGAGCTTTGGCAGCAGGGCATTCGAAGAGGGCATGTCTGATCGTTTCAGGGCTATCTGGACACTAAGGGCAAGACTCGACCTCCGCCATATGACGATACTTCAAATATGCTCGAACAGGGAGAGTACCTGTGCAGATTCTCCAGAGGAAATGGCGTACTTTAGGTGTGACATCAAGCTTCCAAATGTCAACCCAAGTTCTGTGAAAATCGTCCAAGTTACACGATTTTCCTAACATATATGCCGTTTTAACCGAGTATGTACCATCCATGGAGAATGCCCAGCAGATTGAATCTTGCGGAGAGCTTGAACACAAGGGGATAGCTAAGATGCTGCGAGCATCTATTGCATTAAAATTTTCAGAAATAATATTCTCCTTCCATTCTCTACTCTCGTGATCGATCAAATCTGCAACCATCTCAATCGAGCCTATTTTTGGGGAAGAAATGAATCTACTGGAGCCACTGTCAATCCACGGGTCAGACCAAATATTGATTGTAGAGCCATCACCAACTCGCCAGAGAAGACCCTCCTTAAGCAAAGCTTTTGAGGACCAAATACTTTTCCATGAGTAGCTGCCAGCATATCCCAAGTGAGATTCCAGAAAGCTGCAATTTGTGTAATATTTAGCGCCACAACCTTGCTTAGAAGAGAGTTAGGAAATTTAGTGAGTCTCCAAGCCTGTCTTCCAAGGAGTGCCTCGTTGAAAATTCGCAAGTCCCTGAAACCCAATCCACCTAGACATTTTGGAGTGCAGAGATCATCCCATTTCTTCCAGTGAACCTTACGTTCTTCAAGAACCCTTTGCCATCATGGAATGAATGTCCTGGATAACACTAAAAGGCAATCTATAAACACCCATAAGATACGTGGGAATCGCTTGGATTACAGATTTTAAGAGGATTTCCTTCCCTGCTCGAGAAAGAAGCTTTTTTTCCACCCATTTAATTTCTTCCAAATCTTGTCCTTGAGAGCCATGAATACCGTCCTTTTAGATCTTCCAATAATGGTGGGAATACCAAGATATTTCCCGTGAGTATCTACTCGTCTCATTGCCAAAATTTCAATCAACTCCTCCTGCAATGACGTACTGACACCTTTTCTAAAAGAGATCTCCGATTTTTCATAGTTAATTTTTCTGTCCGGAAGCTGCCTCATTATATGTTGAGAATTTCAACTATTTTTGAGCATTCCCTTCGATTGGCTCTTGCAAAAAGAAGACTGTCATCTGCAAAAAGTAAATGAGAAATTTCCGGTCCTTTTCTACTAGCTCTAGCTCCATGAATCGAGCCATCAACCATAGCTTTCCGCAAAAGACCAGAAAAAGCATCAGCAACAAGAATAAATAGATACGGGGATAGGGGATCCCCCTGTCGAAGACCGCGGGAAGGAGTCACAGAACCACACACCCCACCATTGACAATAAATGAATACGAGACCGAAGTGACAAAGTCCATCACAATTCTGATCCAAGCCTCAGCAAAACCCATTTTTTGCAGAAGTTTCTCAAGAAAAATTCCACTCCACTCTGTCATAGGCCTTACTCATATCCAGCTTCAAAGAAATCAGACCCTTTCTACCTTTACATCTCGTTTTCATAGTATGAAAAAGTTCCAAAGCTACTAACGCATTGTCTGTAATAAGTCTACCCGGCACAAAGGCACTCTGATTTTCCGAAATTACACCCGGGAGAATATTTTTCAGGCGCAAGACAATTGCTTTAGAAGCTAATTTATACAGTACGTTGCAAAGAGCAATAGGTCTAAAATCGGTCATAGAGGTAGCGGAGCTAACCTTCGGGATAAGGGCAATATTAGTATTATTAACAGGGCTAATA